TTCAGGCTTCAGCAATATGATTCTTTCTTTTTATATTGGGTGAGAAACACTTTCTGTAGGTCAGTGGGCATACCCACAAAAGCACTAAACTACCAGGAATTCCAAATTGCTGCCAAGTTACACTTCAATAAAAGCCTACTGAATTAAGACTGATGTTTCTGATGCAGATTGACTAATAAGTATTTTTTATTTCCTGCACTACAAACCACTTTGGCAGTTCTTAAGGTGTGTAAAAAAAAAATGCTTTTAACAGCACTTCACTAATAAGCAAAGTGGCATTCATGTACTGGGAAAACTAAACACAATTCAATAAAAATATTTCACTTTAATAAAAAGCCCTGGGAGCATTGATCAAAATCAGTAAATAAATATGAAACAGAAATAACCTTCTGCTTTTACATAATTGTATGCAAAAAAAAAATCCACGTGCCTTTTATATCAGTTTGTTTTAAACATATTTTAAACAAATACAGACAGGCCAGCTGAGATTAAATAAGACCTTGGCCCTGAAAAATAATGAGCATTTCCAGTGACCTTTGAAGTCAAGGGCATTCAACTGCTTTCAGCCCAACAGGAGTAAGAATTTACATCTCGGTATCTCAAATAACTGATGCCAACTAATTTGAGGTCATGTAAAAGATTCCAAACATTACCATTTCATAAATGAACAGCTCAATTCTATAGATAGACATTCCCTTCTGATCCAGCTGGATAACAAGTAACATAATTTACTCCCTACTTGTTACCACCTGCTTCAGAAGATCGTCACCTGCTGAGTTTTACTGGGAGGGATCCCAGTTTTAGGACTCCATGCAGGAGCTCTGAGCCTGCTGTGTGCAGGAGGCAGCGTTCATTACTTTTAACAGCTAAGCTCTTTGGCCCTGAAAAAAAGATAAAAAGGCAAAATAAGCCTCTTCAAGAACTCTGCCCACGGGATAAGGCCCTGGAGGGAAGACGGGGCCCAGGAAACCTGGTTAATATTCAAGGATCATCTCCTCCAAACTCAAGAGCTGTCCATCCCAATGAGTAGGATATCAGGAAAAAATGCCAGGAGGCCTGTGTGGATGAGCAAGGAGCTCCTAGCCAAACTCAAACACAAAAAGGAAGCAAAAAATCAAGGACAAATAACCCGTGAGGAATACAGAGACATTGTCCAAGTATGAAGGGACGAGGTCAGGAAAGCCAAAGCCCAGCTGGAATGGAAGCCTGTGAGGGATGTCAAAGACAAGGAGTGCTTCTGTAAGTATATAAGTGACAAAAGAAAGGCTAGGGAAAATGTGAGCCCACTGCTGAATGGTGCAGTGGCCCTGGTGACACACGACATGGAAAAGGCTGAGGTACTTGGTGTTTCCTTTGCCCCAGTCTTTATTAGCAAGACTGGCCTTCAGGAATCCCAGACTCCAGAGACTGGGAGTGAAATCCACTCTCTGGGCTGCTGAACGGGTATATAGCACAGATCTTCAAAAAAGTTTTAAAGGGGCTACATAGGGAACAAGTTAATAATATCTCTCCAGAAGCAGAACTTGGGAAGCTAACATATGCATGGTTTCTCAGTTATTTTTTAAAAAGAATAAGAAAACAATTTCTCTTCAATTTCTCCTGCTCTTAACTCCTCTCATCTGCTACCTCTGCTCAGGAAGCAGGAGAGAACACCATACCTCTGTGCTTCTTCTCCCATACAGGACAGCATGCTCTGGGGTAATAGCAGGCACCCCTGTTAAAGCACCCCTTACTTTACCCTACTCTTCTCTGACTGTGCTTCGTCTAATAGGGTTGCTAGGATTTCCTTCCATGATCTTTAGGGAGCTTTTTGAAAAGACAAAGGCACAGATGCAAAGGAATCCAGCAGGTTTGGGTTTTTTTGTGGGTTTTTTTTGTGTTTGGTTGGTTGGTTTTGGTTTTTTTGGTGACACCTATGAGCTGGTTGGGCTTGCAAATTCCTAATTGAAGAGGCTCGGCAATGTAGCTGCAGGGAAATGGAAATCATCCTCTGTAATACTACCAGCAAATTACCTTTGTCCTGGGGCTGATTTACCTTTTGTAACCCTGGCTAGAGCCATAAAATATACACTACTCTCTTCCAAGCTTCATTCTGCATCTCTCTGCACCTTACAACGTTGTATTACTATGCTATACATGGTAACATTTTACTGAGGAGTCTCTTCTGATATGCACAGGCAATCACCTTATGTCACATCGTCAATTTTAGTTGCACTTCCAATTTAAAACACTACAACACCCTTCTCCTGGGGCAGTCAATTCAGCAAGCAGTACAGATATTTGGACTATATATTTATAGTGTGTGTATACATGCACGCATATGATCTATTATATTTTTTTAAATACTAAATTATGTGGTTTTTGACTACACAATAGAAAAGATTTTCTACCAGAGGCACTCACAGTCTAAACAGACAGAGAAAATTCAAGAACTTAAACAAAGACTCTATCTTACCCTCTTTTTACAAAACATCTAACCTTTTTCTTAGACAGAATAGTGCCAGGGCCTCACAAGAAAGTAAGTATTCAGGAGGGAACCAAGAAAGGGCAATTGCCTCCTGCAAAGGATTGAGAAAGAATTCCAAGCACGAAGATAAAAATCAAAAGAAAATGGAAAATTGAGACAAAGTGGAAAGCCAGAATTTATTCATTACATGTTCAAGTGAACTTTCTCTGATTTCCTGTAATGTGGCTTAATTGCAGTAATGTTTATTTGCTCAAGTAGACAATCCAAGTCTCTAATCTATGAAATTCCACAACTAAAATTTGCAAACTACAGGACTCAAAATAATATATGCATTAACATGCTGAAATTGCAAGTGAACACCCTGAAACTAGTGCATACGTATTACATACATAGATCTCAAACACAATCAATTATTTTAAATTTACCATTTAGTTGTCACTGACTCAAATTGACCTAAGTGCCGCTTAGCTACTTGCCTCTGGCAGCATGCACACATAAATCTGTTCAAGCACTGACAGGATTGTTAGCTGAGGCCTCAGAAACCCAAAACCTGGATCCTCAAGACGTGTATTTCCATATTTATCTCATCAAGCAGTTCAATCTCCCTGGCAGACTCTGAGGACAGTCTCTTTTAAGAGATAAGTTGTTGAAATACTCTTGCCAGGATATGATAGACCAAGGCAAACCACTAACGCCCATGGCAAGTTTAGCCTGACAATGAGATAGTCGCTTTTAAAATACATTTGGCACTAATGCATCAAAAATGTCCCATCATCCAACTGCATGCCCTGACTTATGATAACTAGGAGACTGAGATGACCCCAGATACTACAGGACACTTAGGCTGGTATAAAAGCAAACAAATGTCTCCTTCATCGGCAGTTCATGCCAGTCTATGATTTACACAGGCTGATTTGGCACATATTTATGTTCTTGTAAGGGCTTTCTGTAGTTTTAGTTAAGTCATTTAACCTCCTCCCATCTATAAAAAGAGAATGATGGCATTAACATAATGTTACAGAAACAGTGTCAGTTCTGACAATTAATTTTTAAATATATATTCAGAATACAGAGTTTATTCTGCTGTATTCAAGCAGAACTCTTCTAAAACAACAAAAATTTTATCAAAAGAAAGGAAGACCTGATGCAAAAATGTAATTGTGGAACACAGCAATATAATAAATAGAAACCAGTAGTTAAGAACTATTAAAAGACTGGGCTTACCACACATGTACTCATATTATACAGCGTAAGATCAACTACCTAAAGTTACTAACATTTACATACAGCTTTAAAAGTTAGAAGCTCACTAAAAACATCTATCAGAAACGTTGAACAAGCTCTCTAAGCATAACGTTATTAATCTATCTCCTTCTAGTGGCAGAACATGAAATTAAATACGCAAAAACTTATTTTTGTTATTTTCTAAAGCTCACGCTAAGCAAAGTATCTGATAGCTAATACTTGTAATATACCAAACATCTGTTCTACAGCTATTATCCTCTCCAGTTAAAATTCAAGCTTTTGCAATTTGCCTGACTAAAAGGCAACATGTCCCTGCATCTTTTTCAGTATTTAGAACTAATCCAAATTTATAGGTTGTTCTTACCACAGCAGTATGCAGTACTCTACAACAAGCTCCAAGGAAAGAATAATTACAAACATGAAGCTTAACAGAAAATGACATGAAGCCTAATGCTGGCTTCCCAAAGAAAAATCCTGCCAAACTTACTTGATATGTTTAAAATCAGTGATTTTTTTCCGGGAAAAGGGAGAAATGGATTAGATTACACATAGCTGGACACTGTTAAAACACTTGATATGGTGCTACGCTGACATTTATGTTTATCTTGTGTAAGATAGAGGTTAAGTAGCGGCTGGAAAAAAACCTACAGTGAACTCCCCGGGGATCAGTTTTTATTTAACATTTTAATTGCTGACTTTGACAAGGAGTAGAAAGACGCTTTGGATGCAAAATAAGAAACACGGCATACAGAAGGAAAACGGGAGAGAATGACAGTACAAAGAAAAAGAAAAAAAAAAAAAGTGTGAGACTAAGGATTATAGAGTGCGACATCCTGAAGTTATAAAGAACTAAATTAACACGCTCTCTCAGGAATCGGTGTGAGATGGAAGTCAGGCAGAACCCTGAGGAGATAACGGGGAAGCCTGAGGCGCAGGCCGTGCAGACAGTAAATGAGTTTAACTGCGCAGAAGGCGAATCGCTTCCCTCTCTCCCACCGCGGGAGGCTTTCCGCAGGGTTCAATCCGCGGTGCCGCACGGCAGGCCGGCGCCGAGCGGCGCAGGTGCGGAGAGGGGCTACCGGCATGAGGGGGGGAAACCGGGACTGGGCCCAGCCGCGGCGGTGCGCCCCCAAAGGCGGTAGAAACCCCGTCCCCCCCCCCGGGGCTGCGGCTCCTCCTCACCCTCCCCGCCCCTCCTCCTGCTCCCACAGCCCCGCCTCTCACCCCGGCCTCGGGCTCCACCCCCGCCGGGCTTCACCCTCTTCCCCAGGGCCCGCCGACGGCACCGCCACGCTCCGCCCCCTCGGGAGCCGGCCCTCATGTCCCACCGCTCAACGGCCGCGGCGGCGCGCGCCTCACGCCCGCCCCCTCCAGGGCGGGAGCCCGGGAATCACCCCTCCTAAGATGGCGGCGCCGGGCCCACGCGGTGCGCGCTGAGGCGCGAGGGGGAAGCGGGGCGTTCGCTGGCGACATGGCGGCGGCAGAGAGCAGGGAGGAGGGCGAGAGGCAAGATGAAGCAGAGGAAGAGGAGGTGGAGGTGGGTGGGTGCATGTCGGTAACGGGAGGCGCTGCGGCGGGCGTTCCCCTGCCGTGCAGCGGTCTGAGGGGAGCTCCCCTCTGGCCGGCCCCCCTCGGGGCGTGTCCCGCCTGTGGGCCCGGCCCGGCCGCCGCTGGGGCAGAGGGGTTCGGGACAGGCTGCCTGCAGGGTGGCAGCCAGGGGTCCAGCACCTGCTCCGGGGCCCTGTGAGGGAGCGGGGGTGGCTTTTCTCCTCTCGCCGTCTTTCTGCGGGGCCTTCCCCGGGAGGACGGCCGGCGGGACAGGCCGGAGACGTGAGGAGAGGCGGGCGGGGGGCCGCCGTGGCTGTCCCCGGGCACAGAGCGTCCCCTGGGCCTGTCGGGTTTCTCTGCCCCCTCGAAGGATGTGTCCTGAAAGCCCTGTCGTTAGGGCCGTTTTACTTACGGTTTTATGAAAAATGGGGTTGTCGGAAAGCACTCTTACAGTTTCAATCGCCTCCTCCCGCTGTAACACCCGAAAATGCAAACTGTTGCCCATCTAAGATGATGATTCTTGAAAACTCTTTATCCTTGAATTTTTCAAGGTAGCTCCTTTTTTGGTTTGCTTTTGCATTTTCCTCACCCCAAACTGTAAGGAATTATGAATGGGAATTGATTGCAAAGCAATGTGTTACAAAGAGTTAAAAATAACCGTTTCAAGCAGCATGTTGCTTAACTTAACCTCTTGGTACAATGTCTTTCTTAGGTAGGTACTAAAATTTTAGAAAATTTATTTTGGGATATGTATCTGGTCATATTGTTGTAATTAATAAATTGCTTACATATACTGATTTCACCCTTGAAAAATGAGCTCCCTTTCTAGCTAGGAAAAAAAGCCCAGGAAATTTGGGTGTGAAACAGGTGTATGATGGAGTAATGGGGTGGCTGCATTCCCCTGGGTATTGCAATATCTGCCTGCCATTTTCTCTAGACAAAATGCAGATTAAGTCAGATTTGGGGTCTGCTTATTGTGGAGGTCTAGGTCTTTATGTGCTAGTTGGGTTTTTTGTTCTATTTTTCTCCTGAATTCAAATATATCAATTACAGATGTGTGTTATAAACTTATCTTGTAGGAGCAACTGGTCATGGTGGAACTATCAGGAATTATTGATTCAGACTTCTTAGAAAAATGTGAAAACAAATGCAAGATTTTGGTGAGTGATTACAGCACAATAGGAAAGGGGTAAGTCAGTACGCATGTGAACAAGGGACTCAAGCTGTTTCTAAATTTCTTGAAGTTGATAACAGATTGGATCTTTGATAGAGAGCTACATGTACTGTCTTGGCTGTATTTGGCTGCATTTGTGCACTCTCTCTTAAAAAAAAAAAAAAATCTATACTGTATCCTACTTGTAACCAAATCTACCTGTGCTCTCTCTACAGACTAAGTGTTCCCTGAGATTTTTTTGTAATGGACAACTGTTGTTAAAACTCCAATAAAAGATTCTGTTTTGCATTATTCTTTTTAGCAACCTTTCTGGGATGCTGGTCACATAAGGCGAAGACAATCTCTAATTTTGCATAGTTCAAACCCAAATGCAATCAGCCAAAGAAATAAAGTTTTGAATATTAAAAACTTAAAGTTGCTACCTAGTACTGGTTATTAATTTTCTGTTGTAAAAAAAACCCAACCAAAAATATGTTCTACACGTTAGCTTACTGCTATTAACATGCTTAACTTAATCCAACAGAAACATCTAATGATGTTAGAAATTTCTGTTTGTTAAAAGTACAAGAGGAAAATTCCACAAATTCCTATTAACCTCTATGATATTCTGTATTTTATGGAATTTACCACATAATGCCTCATCTTCAAAACTTTTCGTGTGTGCTTATCTTCATGCTGTGAATAATGTTGATGTTCATGATGTACTATTAAAAGACATATTGTCTTAATTAGTGTATGCTGTTTGGCCATTATTTTTTATCAAAATATAGTTCCTAGGTATATCTTATGTTAAGAGTAATGGGATCCTGGCCTGTGCATTTGAAAAAGCTCTGCTGCAGAGGAAGGGAATGAGCTGACAGAACTGCTGCCTTACTCTTCCACTCCTTGTTTCAAAAAAAATAAAATTAAGTAACATCAGTCTCCAACTCCTTCCGTATGTAGACGCACAATAATCACAGCAGCTTCTGTGACCCTTGCAATTGCACTTCTGGTGTTGATGTGGTGCTTTATGCCGGACTTTTGTGTCTTTTCCAAAAAACTTTGAAAGTTCTTCTGCTTTACAGAAATGGTCTTAATTGGAGCGTAGAAAATAACATCATTTTTTCATGTAAATATGTATATTTTTATTGCTAATTTAAAACTGAGGCTAAGTTTATTTCTTAGGGGAAATAACAGTGTTTTAAATTAATTTTCTGTAACCCAAATAGACAATTGGCTGCAGTTTGCTCTAAATCTCTTGGGTGTTTTTTAACATACTAGAGCATTTTCTATACCATTTCAGCATTGTTGGGTTTGTTGTTATTACTAGAACAGTATTATCTGGTATATTCTTTGTATTTAATATACTTAAAGTAACATGTATGATGATAGACTGAAAAATGGTTGTTACATTTATTATTTTTTTTTGACAGCACACTGATTCTACAGTAAGATTGGTGAAACCCTTTGAAACATTTGTTACCACTTCTTAACTAAGCCTCCTACAAAAACAGAAAGAGAACTCCTCCTTCCCCACCCCTGATGTTTAACATTGCATAAGACCCGAGGGTCACTTGTAATGACTAAAACTACTTTAATACCTTTTTTGAAAACTAATAAATATTAATTTAATTGTAAGTCTTGCCACTCTTTCAGGATTCTGCTACCTTCTGTAAAATCCTAGCCTCTGCTATGCTCTTTTATCCGCTTCCATAAATCCTGTTTTAAACTTGAGCTTTTCTTCACGTGAAGTTGATAGTTTGAGAAAGCTTTACAGTCTGGAATCTTTTCCTTTAATACCAAAAGAAAGTTTTTATTTCACACTTACAGTGTTATGGAATAGTTGTAATGTAATAAATAGTGTAAAAAACCCAACATTTTACTGTTATCTTTTCAAGGAAATGATGTAATCTGGATTCTTCTATATCTGTCTTCTCTAGTCTCACAGCAAGAAATTTGCCTGGACTAATGGAGACCTGACATCTCTGCAATTTTGTCCCTCTTTTTGTAGGGAATAGAGACAGAGAGGCCCATTTTACAAGTGGACAGATACGTATTTGCAGGAGAATATGAAGGTAGGAAAAATTATGTGGATGCAATCTCTCCTTTTTTCACGTGACCCAAAGAACTTTCTCGATGCCAGTTAATTGCACTGTGAATGGAGAACACGGGGCTGTGGGGCGCTGAAGTTCGGGGTGGTGTCTGTATGACACTGTATAGAGCAGCACCAGTCTGAGTTCACTGCTAAGTTAGCCCTGCATCCATGTCACTTTCTGGAAAGCATGCCTGGAGGCTGGCTGTGGCGTGCACCAGCTGGTATTTCTGCAGGGGAAAAACGTGGGGCATAAAATGCCTTAAAGTGCATGCTCGTTGTCTCCTGAATAAGCAGGACTGATATGTTATGCAATCTGTAGTTCTCCCATTTGCTTTATGGTGACAACATCCAGCTGGAAGAAAATGGTATAGAGTCCTGTCTTTTAGTGGCTTTCAATGACAGTGATACTCCTGTCTGAGTTGGCAGTGGTGTTACCAGCGCTGGGCCTTGGCGAGGGGCTGGAAGTCAGAACATTCACAGGGCTGCATCACTGGGTGCAGCATCTACAGCTGGTATCAATTAGTCTCTAAGACTTTCTCACTTTGTTTTCCACAGATACCTTGGGAACCTGTGTGGTTTTTGAAGAAAACACAGAGCATGGTAATCGTTGTGATTTTATGTCTTATTCATTGTGGTAGCTTGGGAGGTTAAAAGTAATATTTACCTTGCTTCAGTTGATAGTGGAATTCACTATAATGATTGGGGTTTGGGGATTGTGTTTTCTCCTTTCTTCATAGTAGATGCAGAAGGCAACCAAAAAGTACAGCTGAAATACAAGTGTCATACAATGAAGAAGTTGAACATGACACGGACACTTTTGACAGAGAAGAAGGAAGGAGAAGAGAATGTTGGTTAGTGCCTTTCCTCTTATGCATAGGGACGTGGATGGATTATGCTTAGGAGTGTCAGCCTTGGTTAAGTGTTTGATTCAAGAGCGTGTAGGAAGTTAGAGGAGCTTTCTTTGTTAGGCAACAAATATGTGTATTTAAATAGAAAAATATAAAACACAAAAAAGGGGGAGAGATTCCTTCTGACCAGTGCTGCCTCTAGAAGTGACTGGTAGGAGATTGCCTTGTTCGTACACCCTTCTGTGGCAAACATATGCTGACGTTGCCTGTTACGTCTTTTTTTTGTCATGTAAAAGTTTTGTACTAGGTCTGAAATCAGAGGTCTTGTTTCGTAGTTCTTAAATGATTTTTTTTTTTTAACTTGTCAATTTTTCTAATGCCTTTTTCAGTCTGTGTAATTGTTGAAAATCTGTAATACCCCTCTTGAGAAGTTCCATGTTGTATGTACCACAACTGAATTGTTCTTACTGAATTCACAGTTAACTGCAAAGGAATTTAACTTCCTTGCAAAGACACACCCAGTGGACCATTCACACTGATTTTTATTCTTTAGGCAGATCTCAGTGCTTGCGCGTTTGCTTTATGTCAGTGGTGGGGTTTTTGTACGGAAGTGAGTGCTTTTACATTGTCAGATGTTTTGAGTCAGATATTGACTATGTATTCATTAGTCAGATATGCAGTAGTATTAATTACAGTAGTCAGATATTCAGTAGTATTCATTAGCAGTACCCTGTTGCTTTTAATTGTGTTTTTTCTTCACTCAAGGCAGTGCTACTGCTTCATATTTTAAGAATATGCAGCCATTTTACATCAAATACGGGCAGTCAGGTGGTCATAGGAAGTATAACATGAATTTTCCTTCTTTGCATCAGGTGGAGTGGAGTGGTTACAGATCAAGGACAGAGATTTCTCCTACAGCAGGCCCAATATGATTTGCAGCTTTCTGCGTGAAAAAGAAGATTCTGAGGAGTCAGCTCAGGCCCAAGACAAATTGACTGAGGAGTCGGAGGGAGAGGTGAGTGGCGGAGGAAACTCTGACGTGAACTGTGATCTGGAGAAGCAGCACAGCCTGGAAATAGACACCTCTCTTCCTCTGCCTGACAGCCCTGCTTCTGGGGCAGAGGATTCTCCTGCTGGAAGTGTTGCCTTAGACGATGCCCCTCCGTGATACCAGCTCTGGTCTTGTCAGGATTTCTTCATGGAGTTAGTGGGCCAACTTCTAAATGCCAACTTGTGTAGGCTGTGACATGAATTCCAATTTATCTGAGCAATTAGTAGTGGGAAAAACGGGCGTTGTGTTCTTGTGCGTTGCTTTTATGTTTGGATTATAGCGGGGAGGGCTTATGCGTTTTTTAAAAATGCTGACTGGAAATGTGTATATATCTACCTCAAAATTGAAAAAGAGGATATGGTTACATAACTTAAACACCTACCTTAGAAAAATGTTGATGTCTTGTACAGTCTCGGACGTTTTGTAAAAAGAAAAAAATAATCATTGTTTAAAATAAAGTGCTTAATTTTTCAAGCATAGCTTCACCTTCTGTGTCACATGCAGCTGCATACGGTGTCTTTTCTGATTTCGTCCCAAAAAGCCCAGCAAGTTGGCTATTTCATCTACAGTTGAAAATTGGTGGTCGGGGAGTGTGTGTAGTGAAAAGGTAGTGGGTAGGAATGATGTCCAGAGGTGGGGTTGTCACCGTAACCCTGCGTGCCAGCTCGCTGTATGCGGCTCTGTCTCTGCAGCTCCTGCCCACGGCTGGTGTTGAGCACATTTTCTCTGTGTGTTGTGACAGCTATCAGTGTAGGCCGTGTTCACATACTGATACAATCACTTTGACAGAATCACATAGGGTTGGAAGGGGCCTCTGGAGATCATCTAGTCCAACCCCCCTGCCAAAGCAGTTCTACCCAGAGCAGGTTGCACAGGAGCTTGCCCAGGCGGGTTTTGAATGTCTCCAGAGAAGGAGACTCCACTACCTCCCTGGGCAGCCTGTTCCAGGGCTCTGCCACCCTCAAAGTAAAGAAGTTCCTCCTCGTGCTTAGATGGAACTTCTTCTATTCAAGTTTGTGCCTGTTACCTCTTGTCCTGTCACTGGGCACTACTGAAAAAAGACTGACCCCATCCTCCTGACACCCACCCTTTATTTATAGGTGTTGATCAGATCCCCACTCAGCCGTCTCTAGACCCAAGTCCCTCAGCCTCTCCTCGTAAGGGAGATGCTCCAGGCCCCTCATCTTTGTAGCCCTCTGCTGTGCCCTCTCCAACAGCTGCCTGTCCTTTCATTGTTAGCACTTTAAAAAAAAAAAAAAAATTTAAAACCAAAAAAGATGCCTTTAGAAGAAATTCTGTGACAAGGGGGCTTCGACCAGGTGGGGTTTTGCTGGGTATTTTGGTTTTCTCATACCTTTGGTTTCCAAGTCGCACTCAAAGGTGAGCTTGAGGGGCAAATGCAACAACGGGAGCAAATTTGGACAATTCTGACCATAGGAGCGAAGGGTGCGGGCCGACCCCACGGCTCTTCAGTTAAAAGAGAAGCAGTGCTGCCACATTAGGGATTTGCCTGTTCCTGCGGCGTGCGTTCCTTCTGCAGCCCCGGCAGCCGCGATGCTCCTCCTCAGCAACTCCATCGCTGCGGGAAACGGGGCTTTAGGAACGCCCTCTCCCGCCGCCCGGCGCTGAGCCTGTCCCTGCCGCACCGGGGTAAGCTCAGAAACGAGTACCGTTGCGTAACTGCGTCGGTATTCGTTATCATCCGTACTAATTAATTCGCACGCGCTAGGTAGCGGGGACTCCTCACCGAAGCCCGGCACGGCTGCACCGTCCCTCCCGCCCTCCCCGCGCCGGAAGTGACGTAGCGGATGGTGTTTGCCGGCGGTGGCAGCGTGAGGCGGGCGGGCAGCCATGGACGCGCTGGACCGGGTGGTGTGAGTGTGGCTGGGGCGGGGGGAGCGGCGGAGCCGGTCAGGCCCTCGCCGGGGCCCGGGAGTGCCTCCCCTGGGAGCCGGTGGAGCGTGAGCCGGGCCCGGGGCGGGGCGCGGCGGCGGTGCGGAGAGGGTTTGCGGGGGGAGGCCTGCAGGGAGAAAAGGCCCGTGGAAGGCGGGCGGGAAGGAGGATGAAGCGAGCGCTGGCGGCGTTTTGGTGGTGGCGAGACCGCCCTCGGGCAGTCGGTGACCGAAGGTCACGGCGGTGACCCCACCGGCTGGTGTTGGGATTTTGCCTGTTTCTGCTCGCTGGAGAGAACCGTCTCCGTCCGCGGTTGGAAGTATCTGTGCGGGGTCTTCTCGTTGGGTTGGGTTTTTTTTGAAAGAAAAGAAGTACAGTGCTTCACAGAGAAGACATTAAAAGCTTTACGTTCATCTAATGGAGAAATGCGGTTCTTCTCAGTGGTGCCCAGTGACAGGACAAGGGGCGATGGGCATAAGCTGGAACATAAAAAGTTCCATCTAAACACGAGGAGGAACTTCTTCACTTTGAGGGTGGCGGAGCCCTGGAACAGGCTGCCCAGAGAAGTGGTGGAGTCTCCTTCTCTGGAGATGTTCAAAACCCGCCTGGACACGTTCCTGTCCAGCCTGCTCTGGGAGAATTTGCTTCAGCATGGGGGTTGGACTAGATGATCTCCAAAGGTCCCTTCCAGCCCCAACCATTCTGTGATTCTTGAGCCGTGTAGCTATTAATTTATAGAAGCTCCAGGCCCCTGCTGAGGCTGGTGTATTTCACCTGAATGACTCGGGGTGCTGCTCTCTGGTTGGTGCCAACAGAGAGGCCTTACTGGAGCTTCTCTTGCTGGTGCCGTTGACAGAACTTTGTTTTCCTTCTCATGCAAGTCTCTTACTTGGGGAAGGAGCTGGTGAGAGGGAAGGGTTCAGCCTGTCAGTAACCTGTGGGGATTCTGGTGTGGCTCTAAATTAGCAGAAACTGAAAAACCTGAGAGTGTAAAATCGCCCTGGTGGGCATGGGGGGACAGAGAGGAAGAGGAGTGGCAGGAAAACACATCCATCCAAGACTGGCTTTTAGCATGGATTGCAATTCTGCAGGTTGGGATTAGTTGGAGTAACTGCGTTACTGGAACACAGCTCGTTCCAACTTGTTTAGTTTAAACTGTTTTTTTGTGGTGTTGAGTGTTGTTACTAATTTTAATTTTTTAACTGTTCATTCATTCTTACAGAAAACCTAAAACTAAGAGAGCAAAAAGGTTTCTTGAGAAGAGAGAACCCAAACTTAAAGAAAACACAAAAAATGCTATGCTCATAAAAGGAGGAAACGCAAATTTAACAGTGACTGAAGTGCTTAAAGACATTGTAAGTTATTGGACGCAGTATGCAACCTTTAATTATTTAACCCTTGGAGCTACACCAGGAGTACCTTCCTTTCTCTTTTTCTTACAATTTGCATATTCTCTGCTGCATGATCAATACTTCCATACTCTCCCTGTTCCTTGACTGGTACTGCAAAGGTGTCCTTTCCTACCCGTCGATGGAGATGATTGTCTTCCAGTTTCTTCTTTGTCAGAAGTTTTGAGCTCATTCTCTTCGATATTATTTTTTCCATGGTTGTCTGGTATATAAAGTGAAGTGTTGCAAGTCCACTTGAAGAGAAGAGACTTAGGTTCTGGATCCCACAGCTGAAGTCATATCCCAGAATCCTGTAAACTGCTTGTGTGTGCTGATATGGAGCTTTCAGGGTCTTCCAAGACTTAAGTTTACTAATCCTGTCTCCTAAGTCTATACCTGAATAAATTATAGCTGTTCCTTCGCTCTTTTCTCTCATTGCTTCGTTGTTTTTTTACCGTCTTATGCCAATGATAATCAGCTTGTTGTTCACTCCCTGTTTTCCCTCATGCCACTAGAAGCAGAGGGATTCCATTACATGGCTTTGATTTCAGCTGTTTCTCAGTTACTTCAATATATCTTAGTGTCTAGAAATAAGTATTTATGCAATTAATTTTGAACCAAGATTAGCACTATTAACCTGAAGGGTGGTATCGTGAGCAGACATTTTGAAGGGACTTCTTTTCTAGATTGACAAACAATTGCTGTATTTCCTGTGATCATGTAAATGGTTGGGTTTTAAAAACCAGTGCTGTGGACTTCAGTGTAACAGAGATAACACGTTTAACTTTGTCTTTTGCAGTATGCTGTAAAGAAGCCTTTTGCTGTTCTGTATAAAAAGTAAGTGGTCTCACTTTGCCATCTGTGACTCAAAGGCAGCACGTGGTAGTTTCAAAGCATGCCCAGAGGTGCTGGGGTGAGGGTGGAGCAGCAGAAAGGGTTGCAGAAGGTGGCTGAGATTCATCATCAATCTCAGTAGGCTGGAAACAAGCTGCAGGTGATGGGTGTTGGTGCTGAGCCCAGTTCTGTGCCGGGTGTTAGGGAGCAGGATTCAGCAGATTTGAACAGTTGGCTTCTCTGACTGATGTGTGCAAACAGGTAGCGAGGTTCTGTGTCCGGTGGGGAGGCTGGAGTTCTTATATTCAAATTCTAATAAATTTGAGTTATAGATAGTATCAATAGATACGTCTTGCTCAAAATGGGAGCCCAGTATCTGTACAGATGTAGTGCAGAGACATTAATTGGAATAGCTACTTTTAATGTTGGATAAACAAGAAAAGGCAGTTGTTAAGGATGTGTCAGTGGTGGTCGAAAAGTCTGGCCCTAGGAGCCAGAAAACCTGGAGGAAAGCTCTTGGAGGGGCAACGGCGGGGCGGCACTAAGGAACTCCTGGCACTATTAATGTGGCTTAGGCTTTGAACTAAAACTGAACCCCTAATGGTGGAGTTTACAGTAGAATGCAGAATCTTAATGTTAGCAAAGAACTAATTAGAAGTGCTTATCTGGGCCTGTTGGGTTTTTTAATTTTTTTTTTTCCCTTTTTTTCTTCCTCTCAGGAAAAACATTACCAGGCCTTTTGAGGATCAGACATCATTGGTAAGTGTAAACCACATCTTCTCTTATGACATTTTACAGCCTTATAGTCATGAAGAACTTTACTGGAGGATAATTTTCTATTACTCTGTGAGGAACTAGATGAGAAACTAAGTTTATAGGGAGTTTGGGTAAGTTGAGGTAGGGCTGTGTTTTGATTTATGGCACCAGTAGGTGTTTTTTCCCTCTGGCTGCAAGACAGAATTGTCATGTTGTAGGGACTTTGTCTACCATGAATGCATGTTTCTGTAAACTGACTGGCAAATTTAGGAGGCTCTAACACTGTTATAAATGATATGAAATGAAGTATAAAGTGGTTTTTTTATTTGGTTTTCTAAAAGTCAGTTCTTTAAAGTGCCAGAGTTTATGAAAAACATGTTTTCCATTTGGCAAATTCATGGGTTGAAATAGTTAAATGAGAGGGGTCATAGCTTTCTGTCGCTTTTCCTTGTGTTTGAATAGAGGAAGAAAAACCCAGCAGGTTACTATCAATTTCAGTTGAATTCAAGTTCAATATCAGCAATTTCGGTTAAATATGGATTAAGGATCCTTTTTTAAAAAGTGAAGGCGGCCACTAGCGAGCGCTAAAGGAGCTGCTGTTTAGATGG